GTATGCAAATGAACATGGATTTTTTGAAAAACGATCGTTCGAGCAATACTTTCTTTGATGAACTGAAAATTTGTATATTTTCGAAAAAAATTGTTCGCAACTCGAGCTTTAACCGCAATCGTATATTTAAATGAACGTGGATTTTTTGACAAACGACCGTTCGAGCAACACTTCCACTTTTCAGTGAACTGGAAATTTGCATTTTTACAAAAAATTTGCATTTGTCATCTTTTTGCAAAATTTGCATTTGTCACCTTCATCCCAACTGACGCCTTTCCTCCTGCATGTCGGAAAGGGCCAAAGCACGGCCAATATTAGCCCAAATGTTAGGCTACAGCGCAACGATCATTCTTGCTAATAGCGATCTGCGAGTTTAGTGCAAAAACGCATAATCGCACCGGAGAGCCTGGTGCGTTCCGGCCTGGGTTACCGATGTTGTCGATGTTAAAAAATTGTCTTTTGATACCTGCTTCATTGAAAAACATATCGACTCCGGCGCAGATCACAGGTGTAAATCACATATTTAATAGCAGCATACTATAAGTTTGTTAAAGATGTTTTTGGAATCTTTTTTGTGTATCGTCACTGTTACGAAGAGTTTTACTGTTTTATTATCTTCCCCTAATTTATTGGAACGGGTGAACTGAGTAGGAGTTTTTTGAAGACGAATCGTAGTAAATTTACATTTCCATTGTATATGTCTCTCTCTCTTTTCGTGTATTTGTGTCTCTCTCTCTTTTCGTGTATTTCGTGTATTTTTTTGTGTGCTCAAACAGCTTAACTCTCGAAATGTGCAAACTACGAAAATGAATATACGTATTTGGCCTCTGACTTCACAAGATACTGCAAACCTGTACCCAAATTTCAAACCACACTTTGTCACGACATGTGTACGATCGCGATCACCCTGATACACAGTGCTTTTTCGTAAGGAAAAAGGGAACTAGAGCTTACCTTGGCTTATTGAGCACTTCCTCGAGAGCGTATTTTAGATGCTGATAATTCATCTCATATTTCTGTAAGCTTATCGCAATGCCTAAGTGCTCCGCAGCTTTCGCATTCCTGAACTGGTCAGCGAAGAATGGAATAACAACCAGTGGAACGGCGTGAACTGCTGCTTCCAGCATTCCATAAAATCCACCATGCATTATGAAACACTTCAGCCGTTCGTGCCCTGCAGAAGTGAAACCAAACTATACACATGGGATGCAAATACACAGCTTACAGGTTGGCGGTTAGGCAAATTGGGCGTGCGAGCTGGTCTGCGGACTGCCAAGATGTGCCCGATTAGTAAATCATTCGTCGCACTTGCCACTGTTTTCGTTTTCGAAAAATACGTAAGTCAGGCGAGCCAAAGAAAATTTTTTAGTACTTTTTTAGCACATATATTTGATCTTAAAACAAAGTAGTGCAGGAAAAGACTGAAACAAGAATGATTGTTCTAGGAGGGAATGTATTGTACCAAGTAATTTCCCAGTATATTTTCAGAAAAAGACAGTATTTTTATATTACCTAAAATATGAACCTGCGGCAGCCACTGAACAAGATCCACGTTGGAGTGATGCTGAACCATCTTCCCGAGCTTCCCGTCCGCTTTGTCAACTTTCATTATGAAATGATATTCCATAAAATGCGAAAATACTGAAAGACATGTTCCCCATGAATATTTCTCAGAGCAAAATTTTCAAAAAGCATACTCACAATGGCACTTTGTTTTGGAGAAATGTCTGCGCGGGCGCACATGCAAATATCCTCAGACAAGCATCAGTCCTCAATACAAGAATATCATCATTAGCGACGCGCACTGGCCGGGCCAGTGCGATCATGGGTTTTTGCAGTGTT